TGAAACTCCCTTATAAGAACTGGCGCAAAAAAAACGGACCAGTACAATTTGGCATCTGAGATAAGAAAGAGGATACGGGCCCCTAGGGGCATAAAGATGGGTCCAGCAGCACACTCACTCTGAGCGTTGATCTGCCATCTACCTGCTGGCCAGGTTAGGTGTTTGACCTCCCGAGGTTCCATGGGGATGCCCACCTCGTATTCGTCTTTCCGAGGAATTGAGGGACCGACCCTGGCCTGACCCGCTGGAGTCGAGAGGCACAGAAAGGGGTAAAAATTGTACCTGTATGTGTCCTTTGTTTAAGTATATACATAGTGTTAGAGCTCTTTAAAGATTAAGCTGTCACTTGGTACCATTATTTTCTATCTTCCTTTTTCCTTTGTAACCATTTTAAGATCTATATTAGCTAGCAGTTAAGAAGTAGAGTAATAGCCATTGTAACCACATGCTTTATAAGCCTTTTTAATAAACCTGTAACTGGTTAAGTTTTAACCTGACTCCTTCAGTGGCTGTAACAGAACCAAGTACAATTTAAAAGAACTCCAGCCGGACATAAGGGACAGGTATAGGGAGAGCTGGGGTGTTTGGATCGTGTCGCTTCCAGAGCACAGATCCGTGGGGCATCTCTCAGCCTTCCCTAGGCTGCCCGCTGTGAAGGGATCATGTATCCTAGCAGTCAAAATCTGAGGTGTAATAAGCTCTCCCTGTAAACTCTGTGGCATCTGTCAGCCTGTTGGCTGCCTGCTGTGACGGGACCCCGGTCCTAGCGGTTAAAGACATGGACGTTAAACTTCTCGGGGCACCCATCATCCTCCCTAGGCTGCCCTCTGCGACGGGACCTTGCGTCCCAGCAGTTGAAGACTTGGGTGTAACATACACACACACTGCCCTAACCATCGGCTGACAGCTTCAAAAAACTGTGGGTGGACTGGGCCTGCCCTGCAGTTCTGAGTGGGTTCAGCACCTGAGGTTCTTCCTTTTGGAAGGCTGTGAGCAGCAGGGAGACCAATGACCAGCCAACCTTCTAGATCCAAAATGCTGTTTAATCTGAACAGCAGGAGTAAAGCGTAACATGGGAAAAGAAGAGGGCTTCAAACAACAGTTTCCCCACATCTCTGACATAGGCCCTCCTGGTATGACAGGGACCCAGGCAGGCCGAGGGCCTTCAGCCTTCCCCAGCCATGTCTGTGCCAGTCAGTCTAAAGAGCTTCTCAGCAACAGTGGCCACATCTCTGGACAGACTCTCAGCACTGGCACAACAAGATGGCTACGTCTACATTGGCCCCTATTCTGTAATAGCAATGCTAATGTAGCACTTGGGAATAGGCAAATCCGCGGGGGATTTAAATATCCCCCGCGGGATTTGCATTTTCATGGCTGCCGCTTTTTTCCGGCTTGTAGATAAGCCGGAGAAAAGCGCCAGTCTGGACGCGATCCTCCGGAAAATAAGCTCTTTTCTGGAGGATCTCTTATTCCCACTTGAAAGTGTAGACACTTTCTTCTGGAAGAGTTTTTGTGTGAGAACGCACCAGTGTAGACGTAGCCTTGAGTTAACCCAAAGTAGTTATTTAGCAAAGTAGTTATATAGCAAATGTCAGAAGAATTATAGAGGCTATGTCAAGACTGCAGATTTCTTTCAGAAGAAGCTTCTCCAGAAGAGATCTTCCAGAAAAACTTTTTTCAAAAGAGAGCATCCATGCAGCTAAAGCACAATGAAAAAGAGATGTGCATTTTTGAAAGAGAGTGTCCATATTGATTGGATGCTGTCTTGCATTTCAGTTGTGATTAGTCTGGACAGAGTGGCCATCAGGGCATCTTTGTTATTTGTTAGAGGCCTCTTCTTTGGAAAGAAGTCCCTCTCCTGTGTCCCCACATGCCTTTTTCCAAAAAAGCTTTTTCCGAAAAAGGCTTCTTTCTCCTAGAAAGAGGTTTACCAGTGTCAGAAAAACCTTGCTGTTCTAGCAACTTTCTGTTGAAAGAACTCAGTGGCAGTGTGGACATAAGTACAGGGTTTTTTTTCTGGAAAAACACTGCGGTGTAAACATACCGTAGAGACAGATGGACAGAAAGAGAGAGAAAACAAGGCTACATCTACACTGCAGGGTTTTTGCGCAAAACCAGCTGTTTTTGTGCAAAAATCCATGTAGTGTCCACACCTCAAATGCGCTTTTGCTCAGTTAAATGGGCAGTTAAACGGCAGAAGAGAGGACTTTTTCTGCTGTAGGTAAACCTCCCTTTCTGAGGCATAACTCCCTTTTATGCTACAGCTCTTGCACAAAAAGGCAAGTGTGGATGCTCCACAGGAGTTCCTTGTGCAAGACACCCATATGGAAAAAAGCACAGGTGCTCTGATTGCCATTCTGTGAATGACCATCAGAGCTTTCTTGTGCAAGAGCGTGCAATAGTGTGGACCTCTCTTGTTCAAGAAGCCTTTGTGCCAAAAAACTAGCGCTACAGACTTCTTGCGCAAGAACACTGTAATGAAGGCGTAGTCCAATAGACAGTTTTCCATTGTGACAATGGATTGAGATGCTGTGTTTCTTCCAGGTTCTCAAGAAATCAAAGGGTGTGTCTACACTGCATTCCTCTTTCGAGAGAGGAATGCAAATACAGCTGAGCAAAATTGTAAATGAAGCAATTCTTTCGAAATAATCCTTATGCCTTAAAAATGGGGTTTAACAGTTATTTCAAAAGAAGGGTCTTTTTTTTTAAATAACCATGTCTACACAGATTTTTTTCAATCCCAAAATAGGGTATTTCAAGATAGCGGCCAGATGCAATTATGCAAATGAAGTGCAGGAAATTCAAATCTGTGCTTCATTTGCAATTTCACTCGGCTGCATTTGCATTCCTCTCTCAAAAGAGGAATGCAGCGGAGACATACCACCTATGACAGATGCTCCATTTTCAGTCCCACTCTAATTGGAGCCATCACTGCCACAAGAACATCAGTGTCTGGGTTGATACGTGTGTGCTAACATACAGATGTGAAAATGTGATGCCAAACATTTTTCTTTGCCATAAAAACATTACAAATCAAGCCTTCCTGGCATTCAGGTATATCAAAAGGTTGCAGCAGAATTCTTGGAATCTTTACAGGAAAAAGCAGAGGTAAGAACATAAGAACGGCCATACTGGGTCAGACCAAAGGTCCATCTAGCCCAGTAGCCTGTCTGCCGACAGCGGCCAACACCAGGTACCCCGGAGGGGATGGATTGAAGACAATGACCAAGCAGGTAACTTTGCTGCTTAGAGGCTTTGGCTGTTGAAAGTATGATAAAAGCAGTCCACATATTTTTTGCAATGGGTTTCTGTGATTAAATCTTTGTTCGGGGAACAGTTGTATAGTATGGTCTCCTGGTAACTAACCAGAAGCTGCTTCAAACACTTAAGGGCTCGTCTACACTGGCCCCTTTTCCGGAAGGGGCATGTAAATTTCACCTGTCGTCGTAGGGAAATCCGCGGGGGATTTAAATATCCCCCGCGGCATTTAAATAAAAATGTCCGCCGCTTTTTTCCGGCTTTTAAAAAAGCCGGAAAAGAGCGTCTACACTGGCCCCGATCCTCCGGAAAAAGTGCCCTTTTCCGGAGGGTCTTATTCCTACTTCAAAAGCCGGAAAAAAAGCGGCGGACATGTTTATTTAAATCCGCGGGGGATATTTAAATCCCCCGCGGATTTCCCTATGCTGACTTACCTGATTTGCATCCCTTTTCCGGAATTTGTGGCCAGTCTAGACGTAGCCTCAGGGTATATCTAGACTACACTGATTTTTTGAAAAAAGCTGCACAAAGATGCGCTCTGCATTTTTTCAAATCTTTTGAGGGTTTTTCGACATTTGGCCCATTTAGACTGGGCCAAATGTTGGGGAAAAAAACTCCTCTTTCAGAAGCCCCTTTATTCCTCATAGAACGAGGAACACAAGAGCTGCCAAAAGAGCGCATTTGTTCTTCCACTGAAAAATGTGGAAGAACAAACACGTCCCTGGCATCAGAAGAGTTTTTCCGGAATATCCGGGAAAAATCTAGGGGTGCATCTAGACTGGCAAGACTTTGCGCAAAAGTAGCCGCTTTTGCACAAAAACTTGCCAGCTGTGTACATTGGCTGCTTGAATTTACGCAAGAGCACTGAATTTGTAATGTACAAAATCAGTGCTTCTTGCGCAAATATTTTCATGCTCACGCTCAGGAAAAAGCCCTCTTTCTCAAGAATACTTGTGCAAGAGGGCCAGTGTAGACAGGAAATAACTGTTTTGCGCAAAAAAGCCCCAATGGCTAAAATGGTGATCAGGGCTTTCTTCCGCAAAATCGCGTCTAGACTGGCCATGGATGCTTTTGTGCAAAAGCATCTGTGCCAATCTAGATGAGCTTTTGTGGAAATACTTTTAAAGGAAAAACTTTTCCGATAAAAGTATTTCTGCAAAATCATGCCAATCTAGACGCAGCCTAGTAGTGTAGACATACCCTCAGATATGGGCTTCTGGGCAACTCACTTGGGGCTAGAAACACAAAGGAGAGGGTTGTGAGGGCCTAATCTGAAAGGCCCAAGCTGAGAGTGTCAAGCCATTTTCAGATTCTACTCAAACCCACTGCCCAGTCTCAGGGCCCAGGGTTATAAATACAGTAGAAAGGATTGTTTTAAAAATTTTGGACGGTCTCTAAACCTTGATTTGCATAACAAAGTATGTCTCAACAGTTAGCGTCAGGGACAAATTTTCCCTGGCAGCAGGAAAATTCATAGCTGCTTATTACCGGGTGTCTTCCACCTTTCTCTTGCAGCGTGTGGGACCGGACAGTGGATACTGGGACAGATAGACTGCAGTCTCATCCAGTCTAGCAGGGCCTATCTTTCTTTCCATGGTGTAAACTCAAGTCTATGCTTTTGCTGATCTTCTTTGAGCTCTTGGGAGCAGAAAGCTATCTAGTAAAATATCATCTACTCTCATGTTATATTTCCTTTCAGAAATTAAAGCTGAAAACTCTTCCGACCTACCCAGTACATCATGTTAGCTGCTAATGACACCAAATTCAATTCTACGGTATTCCTTCTTTCGGGGATTCCTAGGCAGGAAAGCATGCACCCCTGGATTTCTATCTCCTTCTGCATGATGTACACTATCTCAATTATAGGAAATTCAGTCATTCTGTTCATTATAAAAACAGATCCAACCCTCCATGAGCCCATGTACATTTTCCTTTCCATGTTGGCTGTCACAGACATTGGCTTATCGATAACCACCATGCCAACAACATTGGGTGTATTTTTGTTTAACTCTAGAGAGATCAGCCTGGATGCCTGTTTTGCCCAGCTGTTCTTTGTCCACTTGTTTTCACACACTGAATCCTCCATGCTCCTGTTGATGGCCTATGACCGCTTCATGGCAATCTGCAACCCGCTGAGATATGCTTCCATCTTAACCCTGCCGAGAATAGCCAAGATGGGGCTAGTGTTTGTGCTAAGAGCAGTGTTCTTAGTATTCCCACTCCCCTTTCTGCTGAAACGGTTCCAATATTGTCGATCCAATGTCGTCTCCCACTCCTACTGCCTGCACCAAGACGTCATGAAGCTGGCTTGTGCGGACATCACTGTCAACATCATCTATGGTTTGACTGTCAAAATCTTTGCTCTAGGGTTGGACTCATTGCTCATTTTACTTTCCTATGGGATGATCCTCAAGACTGTGCTGAGTGTTGCATCTTCTACAGAGTGTTTCAGGGCCCTGAACACTTGTGTCTCCCACTTCTGTGCTGTCCTGATCTTCTTCATACCTGACATTGGCTTGTCCATGGTACACAGATTCGGAAACAGCTCTTCTCACTTGCTTCAGAGTCTCATGGGCTACGTCTACATGCTGGTCCCGCCCCTGATGAATCCAATCGTGTACAGTGTGAAAAACGAACACCTTCGTTCAAGGATACTCAAGGTGTTCTTCAATTTTATTCTTATCAGTAAAGAATAAAATTGTGAAGCATGTAGAAGAACATAATCTGTTGGACAAAAGTCAACATGGATTCTGTAAAGGGAAATCCTGTCTTACTAGTCTAGTAGAGTTCATTGAAGGGGTTAACAAACATGCGGACAAGGGGGATCCAGTAGATATAGTATACTTAGATTTTCAGAAAGCCTTTGACAAGGTCCCTCACCAAAGGCTCTTGTGTAAATTACATGGCCATGGGATAAGAGGGAAGGTCCTTTCTTGGATTGAGAACTGGTTAAAAGACAGGAAACAAAGGGTAGGAATAAATGGTAAATTTTCAGATTGGAGAGGGGTAACTAGTGGTGTCCCCCAAGGGTCAGTCCTGGGACCAATCCTTTTCAACTGATTCATAAATGATCTGGAAAAAGGGGAAAGCAGTAAGGTGGTAAAGTTTGCAGATGATACCAAACTGTTTAGGATAGTCAAGACAGAAGCAGACTGTGAGGGACTCCAAGAAGATCTCACCAAACTGAGTGATTGGGCAACAAAATGGCAAATTAATTTTAATATGTATAAGTGTAAAGTAATTAGGAAAAATAAACAAATTACACATTAGGAAAAATAAACAAAACTATATGTATAGTATGATAGGGGCTAATTTGGCTATGACAAATCAGGAAAAAGACCTTGGAGTTATCGTGGACAGTTCTCTGAAAACTTCCACACAGTGTGCAGTGGCGGTCAAAAAGGCAAATAGGATGCTAGGAATTATTAAGAAAGGGATAGAAAATAAGACCCAGAATATCTTACTGCCCCTGTATAAAACTATGGTACGCCCACATCTTGAATACTGTGTACAGATGTGGTCTCTTCACCTCAAAAAAGATATTTTGGCCTTGGAAAGGGTTCAGAAAAGGGCAACAAAAATTATTAGGGTTTTGGAACGGGTCCCATATGAGGAGAGGTTAAAGCGACTGGGATTTTTCACTTTAGAAAAGAGGAGACTGAGGGGGGATATGATAGAGGTCTATAAAATCATGAGTGGTGTGGAGAGGTCCGATAAAGTGAAGTTATTTATTAGTTCCCTAAATAGAAGAACTAGAGGACACCAAATGAAATTAATGGGTAGCAGGTTTAAAACTAATAAAAGAAAGTTCTTCTTTACACAGCGTGTAGTCAACCTGTGGAACTCCTTGCTAGAGGAGGCTGTGAAGGCTAGGACTATAATAGATTTTAAAGAGAAGCTGGATAAATTAATGGAGGTTAGGTCCATAAAAGGCTATTAGCCAGGGGATAAAATGGTGTCATTGGCCTCTGTTTGTCAGAGGCTGGAGAAGGATGTCAGGAGACAAATCGCTTGATCATTGTCTTCAGTCCACCTTCTCTGGGGCACCTGGTGCTGGCCACTGTCGGCAGACAGGATACTGGGATAGATGGACCTTTTGTCTGACCCAGTATGGCCGTTCTTATGTTCTTATGAAGGGTGAGTTCTTCTACCTGCTCCAGCTCTGGTGCCTTGAAACATGGAAAACGAAGGCCACAGCCATTCCCACCGTGATGGACACTTACATGCATCATGAAATGAGCTACTCATCTCCACTCTCTACACTGAGGTTCCAGTGAGGTGTAAGGCCTGGACGTCCCCATGGATGAGGGAGGACAGAGCCCTAGGAAGGAGACAAAGGCAGGCAGCTGCATTTCCAAAGTGATTGGGTTCATGGAGAATCAAAGGATGGGTGGCTCATAAAGAACCTTAACAGTGGCTCTGTCGACTCCAGTGTTCCTCTCTGTACCATCAAGAAAGAGAAGGGATGTGGATGTTGTTTATTTGACCTGTCATTGACCTGTCTCTGGTTCAATTGCTATGGGCCTGGAAAAGCTGCAGAGCTGTTGTGCAGTGGCAATCCTGAGATTAAAAGGACTGGGACTAAAAGAGGAGACTGAGGCAGGAGATGATCATGGTCTATAAAATCATAACTGGAGTGGAAAAAGTGAATAAGGAAAAGATGTACTTGTTCCCATAACATCAGAAGAAGGGATCACCAGATGAAATTAATAGACAGCAGGTTTAAAACAAAGAAAAGGAAGTATTTCTTCACACAGAGCATAGTCAACCTGTGGAACTACTTGCCAGCGGATGCTGTGAAAAACAGTAATTTAAAAGGTTTCAAGGAAGAACTAGATACATTCCTGGAGGTTAAGTCCATCCATACGTATTAGCCAGAATGGGAAGATATCCCTAGTCTTTGTTTATCAGAGGCTGGGAATGGGTGACACGGGAGGGATTACTTGATGAGTACCTATTCTGTTCACTCCTCTGGGGCACCTGGCATTGGCCACTGTCAGAAGACAGGACACTGGGCCAGACGGCTCTTTGGTCTGACCCAATGTGACCGCTCTTATGTTCTCATGAGGGCTCTTGATGCTGAATGATCCATGAGACCTGGCCCAGCTATGGACAATGGGCATGGTCACTCACCCCTCACTGAGGTCCTCAAAGAGGTGCCTGTGGCTGCATGATTCTCATAGACTCATAGATTTTAAGGTCAGAAGGGACAATTATGATCATCTAGTCTGACCCTGTGCACAGTGCAGGCCACAAAATCTCACCCACCCCTCCTAGAATAATCCTCTCACCTATATCTCAGATATTGATGCCTTCAAATACTTTGAAGACCCCAAGATGCAGAGATCCTCCAGCTGTGATCTGTGCCCCATGCTACAGAGGAAGGCGAAAAACCTCCAGGGCCTCTGCCAATCTACCCTGGAAGAAAATTCCTTCCCAACCCCAAATATAGCGATCAGCTAAACCCTGAGCATGTGGGCAAGACTCACCAGCCAGACACCCGGAAAGTTCTCTATGGTAACTCCTATAATCCCTCCATTGACCTATTTCCCACTGATAATGAATGGTCAATTAGTTACCAAGATCATGTTATCTCATCAAACTATCCCCTTATCATAGAATCATAGAAATGGAAGAGACACCAGAAGGTCATCAAGTCCAGCCCCCTGCTCTAGGCAGGACCAATCCCTTCTAAATCAACCCGGCCAGGGCTTTGTCAAGCCGAGACTTAAACACCTCTAGGGATGGAGACTCCACTACTTCCCTAGGTAACCCATTCCAGTGCTTCACTACCCTCCTATTGAAATAGTTTTTCCTAATAGCCAACCTGGACCTCTCCCACCACAACTTGAGACCATTGCTCCTTGTTCTGCCATCTGTCACTACTGAGAACAGCCTCTCTCCATCCTCCTTGGAACCTCCCTTCAGGAAGTTGAAGGCTGCTATCAAATCCCCCCTAACTCTTCTCTTCTGCAAACTAAACAGACCCAAGTCCCTCAGCCTCTCCTCATAAGTCATATGCTCCAGCCCCCTAATCATTTTGGTTGCCCTCTGCTGGACCCTCTCCAATCCTTTTTGTAGTGGGGGGCCCAGAACTGGACACAATACTCCAGATGTGGCCTCACCAAAGCCGAATAATGGGGAATGATGTCAGAGACATGATTAATGCTGGGGATCTAGGAGTAGCCACTCACAAAGGCTACATCTAAACAACACCCCTCTGTCAGCAGAGGGATGTAAATTTGACGTATAGGAAGTGCAAATGAAGCAGGGATTTGAATATCCCACCCTTCATTTGCATAATGGCAGCCGCTGCTTTTTTTTTCCGAAACGGGGCTTTTCGGGAAGGGGCTTGGTTTAGAAGGGGCTTGCAGTTTAGAAGGGGCATTTTCGACTGAAATGTCCCGTTTCGAAAAATGCCACTGCACGCCAGGATCTTTCAAAACGGGGCATTTCTGTCAAAAATACCCCTTCTAAATTGCCAGTTTTTTCCGAAAATCCCCGGTTTCGAAAAAAAGCGGTGGACGCCATTATGCAAATGAAGGGCGGGATATTTAAATCCCTGCTTCATTTGCACTTCCGATACGTCTAATTTACATCCCTCTGCCGACAGAAGGGTGTAGGTTAGACACACCCATAGTCCAACCCCCTGCCCCACTGATGGCTCGTCACACCACACACTTGCGGAGCCCATTCCCCACTGAGGCAAAGCAGAGCTGGGTGGGGGAGGGAGGCTCTGACACGCAGGAGTCCTGGCAGGAGACTCAGGCCCAGTTTCCCTCCTGCCCTCGCCTTGGTTTGTGCTGCCCCAGTCATGCGAAGGGGTGGAAATGGACATCATCTCCCCCACAGAGTCATGGCTCGCTCCTATCCCAGCCAGCCCCTTGGTTTCCGAGTGAGCCCCATTCAAAAGGCAAACACGGGACATATTCTAAAACTGTGACCTGTCCCACACCTTCTGTTTCCCATTGTGTTCTCTCTGCCCCGCTCCTACTCACTAGCTGGAACTCCGTACTCTGCCCAGGCCAGAAGCCAGAGCCAGGCAGGGATAAAAGCTGCCAGAGGGAGCAAGAACCACTGTGAGGAGGCCCAGATCCACCACCTGCCTTGGGCAGGAGGCTGGAGGCCATGAGAGAAGCAAACACCCTGTCCCCCAGGAAGTTCAACCCAGGCAAGCTGGTGACTCTGTGAGTCCCGGGCAGCTCTGACCAAGGCGAAGCTTAGGTCTGATCAGAGAAGCAGAGCTTCAGGAGAAGAGGATGAGCAGGGGCAGTGGTGAATGGCCCTCAGGGAAGGAGGAGGAAGGGGTACTGCAGGCCCAAACCAGTGCAGACCATAGAAAGAAGGTGGGGAGCGGGGACTCTTGAGTCAAAGCAGAAGATGGGCAAGAATGTAGCAGAGATGGTGCTTTGGAGAAGACTGAATAATTGAGACCCCATAAAGGGCAGAGTGACAGGGTCCCAGACGGCAGAGTCACCTAAGGTACGTCTAAACTACATGACTCCGTTGACGGAGCCATGTAGATTTGTTGTTCTGGACGCTCCCCTGTCAACATCAAAGCCCTTTCTCGGCAGCCCCGGTAAACCTCATCGCACGAGGAATAACGGGGCTGCCGACAAAGGGCTTTGATGTCAGCAGGGGAGCGTCCAGACTAGCGCACTGAGCAGACAAACAGCTGATCAGCTCTTTGTCGGCTCAGCGCGGCAGCCATGTAAACTTAAATGAAGCCGCGATCATTTAAATCGCGGCTTCATTTGACTTTGCCTATGTGTCTAATCTACATGCCTCTGATGACAGAGGCATGTAGTCTAGACACAGCCCTAGAAGCTAGATTGCAGAGTCGGCAGGTAAAAATGGGGGGGTCTTGTGATGTATGAGATAGATGAGTGTAGATCTTTGACAGCCACCTGTCATTTTCAAACCTTTTTCTCCAGTGCTTCATGCATTTGACTACTAACCCGCTTTCTTTTCAGGAGGCTGGGGGGAAGGTTGTCCACCTGTGCCCACTTTACCCAGAGCCACGAATATCTAGCCAAGCTCACTGCTCCAGAGAGAGACAGGCTGCAGTCAGCCCCAGCGCCTCAGCCAGCGCCAAGCCGGGGAACCCACCGCTTTCCCCATTTCCAGTTTCCAATGACAAGGGAAGGGACGTGGAACGACCCAAATGAAATTTCCGTGTACGTAGCCCTGTGGAACCTCCTTTTACTTTCTGGATGCCTGGTTTGATAATGCAGGATAATTTCAGCAAGATCACAGCTGTTATTGCTGCCATTACAATTGGCTGCCCACACAGTAGCCAGGGGCTTAATCAGACCTGTAGGAACAGTGTGGAAAAGCCCAGATTCTAGGAACAGAGCCCGCACCAGGGCTGGTGCTGCAGGCCCGTTGTTTAGCATCATCCTCCGTCCCCTGGGATTTGGCCTCCTGCCATTTGCCGTTGGCTGTGACGGGGTTAAATCTGGTGCACATGAAGTCAAGCAGCTGAGACTCCTTGATGGCCAAGTGGCCCCAAGGGAAGGTACGAACATGCTGCATAAAGGCAGCTGACTCCCTAGCTGAACACATACTGCCTGCTGCTCCTGCAACCTCTCTGATGACTTCTTGTGCTTTCAAGTCAAGACCTCTGGTGCCAGCGGCTCCCCTTCTAGCAGGAACTGGGTACGTGGGCAGGTTTCACTGTCTGTAACATGCCAAATGCTGGGCGAAGGCTGCAGGCTGTTTGCATTGGCAGCTGTTCTGTGCAGCAGCAGAGGACTCAGCTGGGCTGTCGGGGTGACTCAGTGATGGGGCTGCAGGGCAGGCAGCGTTAGCAAGTTTGGGAACCCTCCCCTACCTCTCTCTATGCTCCACAGTGGGCTGCTCAAATAGCTTCACGATTTCTGAACAGGTCAGGATTTGTCAACATGCAGTGTGGTCGGGGCTCAATTTCTCTAGGCTCTGAGTGAGAGGAGACCCCACAGACTATAGATGACGAGTTCCCAAATCGACTTACACTTATTTGCTCCTGGAGGTTTAGGTTGGACATTAGGAAAAAGTTCCTACCTGTCAGGGTGGTTAAACACTGGAATAAATTGCCCAGGGAGGTTGTGGAATCTCCATCTCTGGAGATATTTAAGAGTAGGTTAGATAAATGTCTATCAGGGATGGTCTAGACAGTATTTGGTCCTGCCATGAGGGCAGAGGACTGGAATCGATGTCCTCTCGAGGTCCCTTCCAGTCCTAGTATTCTATGATTCTATGAAATGTACTCAGGAAATGTGTTTAAGTCTCTGTCCCGAATGTTAAAAAAAGGAATAAGGGATCTTTCGGAAAAGGCTTTATTTTCCAAAAGACCCCGCCTAGACTGGCGCTTTTTTCCGGCAAAGCTCTGAGCCTGAAAAAAGCGGCAGCCACGTTTATGGGGATTTAAATCCCCGCTTCATTTGCAATTGCGATGTGTCTAATTTGCATCCCTTTTACGGAAAAGGGATGCAGTCTAGACACAGCCCTGGAGTGAGGCAATTGACGTCGCTGTTATTGAATTAAGCATGATTTTAAACAGGGTCATTGCAAGACAGATAAAAACAAGGACTGTTTTCACTACACACCTGTGCTTTGTTGACATGCATTCCCTGATACAGTGGGGCAAAATCAGAAGTGGTGGACCAGAAAGCTTTTCTGTATAAAGGTCAGAATGGTAAAATCACACTGTCCTCAAGTAGGCTGTGGAACTCCTACCCACAAGGTATTAATGGGTCCAAAAGCTCAGAGAGGGAGTGTATATTCGTATTAGTAACCACATATTTCAATCACATTAGTGAGAATTTAAAAGATAATAGAAGGGCTCCAGACCTTCCTGATTTACACCACAAACTGAGTCTAACTAGTTGGCGTCAGGAGAAGTGTTATAACTTGCTGTCACAGGACTTCTGCCACCTTTCTCTGCAGCATCTCACGCTGATCACCGGACACGGGGCTGGATGGACAGCAGGTCTGATCCCAAGCATTGTTACAGGCTGGGGACTGAATGGCTAAGTAGCAGTTCTGCAGAAAAGGACCTAGGGATTACAGTGCTTGAGAAGGAGGATATGAGTCAATAGTTTGCCCTTGTAGCAAAGAAGGCAAATGGCATATTAGGTTGCATTAGGAGGAGCATGGCCAGCAGATCTAGAGAAGTGATTATTCCCCTTTATTCAGCATTGGTGAGGTCACATATAGAACATTGTGTCCAGTTCTGGGGCCCCCACTATAGAAAGGATGTGGATGCATTGGAGAGGGTCCAGTGGAGGGCAATCAAAATGATTAGGGGGCTGGAGCGCATGACCTATGAAGAGAGACTGAGGGATATGTGTTTGTTTAGTCTGCAGAAGAGACGAGTGAGGGGGGATTTGATTGCGGCCTTCAACTTCCTGAAGGGAGGTACCAAAGAGGATGGAGAGAGGCTGTTATCAGTGGTGAGGGATGGCAGAATGAGGAACAATGGTTTCAAGTTACAGTGGGAGAGTTCTGGGTTGGATATTAGGAAAAACTTTTTTGCTAGGAGGGTGGCGAAGCACTGGGATGGTTCACTAGGGAGGGGGTGGAATCTCCATCCCTAGAGGTTTTTAAGTCTCAGCTTGACAAAGCTCTGGCTGAGATGATTTATTTGGGATTGGTCCAGCCGTGGGTAGGGGGTTGTACTTGACCACCTCCTGAGGTCTCTTCCAGCTCCAAAATTCTATGACCCAGTCTGGCAGTGCCTGTCATCAGTGGGATAAATCCAAAATTTAAGGGTTTTTTTCTCCTAATTTTCCAATAGCTCCTGGGAGATTGTAGAACTGCATTGAAAGTAGAAAGATGTCTCGCTGTATATCATTTAGTCATCTGGGGTTCTTTTCCTGTTAGGAAGGAAAGTTCAGAATTACTTGGACCTGTTGAATACATGATGTCAGCTGCCAATGACACCACATTCCAATCTACCGTGTTCCTCCTCACTGGTATACCTGGCCATGAAGACATCCACCCCTGGATCTCCATCCCCTTCTGCTTTATATATGTTATTTCAATAGTTGGAAATTCAGTCATTCTGTTCATTATAAAAACTGATTCAAGTCTCCATGAGCCCATGTACATTTTCCTTTCCATATTGGCCATCACAGACCTTGGCATATCATTAGCCACCATGCCGACAATACTGGGCATATTCTTCTTTAATGCTAGAGAAATTACTATTGATACCTGTTTTGCCCAGCTGTTCTTCATCCACTTTCTTGCAAAAATTGAGTCTTCTGTGCTGTTGTTGATGGCCTTTGACCGCTTCATTGCTATCTGTAATCCACTGAGATACACGTCCATCTTAACCCTGCCGAGAATAGTCAAGATGTTGCTGGTGTTTGTGCTAAGAGGGCTGGCCGTAATATTCCCTCTTCCCTTTCTCCTGAAACGGTTCCGATACTGTCGAACCGGTGTCCTCTCCCACTCCTACTGCATACACCAGGATGTCATGAAGATGGCTTGTTCAGATATCAGAGTCAACAACATCTATGGCTTGTTTACTACTCTCATCACATTGGGGCTGGACTCGCTGCTCATCTTCATCTCTTATGTGATGATCCTCAAGACCGTGTTGAGCATCGCGTCCCACACGGAGAGCCTCCGGGCCCTGAACACCTGTGTCTCCCACCTCTGTGCTGTCCTGCTCTTCTACATACCAGACATCGGCCTGGCTGTGATCCACAGATTCGGGAATAGCTCATCACACTTGCCTCAGAGTCTCCTGGGCTATGTCTACCTTCTGGTCCCACCCTTGATAAATCCAATTGTGTACAGTGTGAAAAGCAAACACCTTCGTGCGAGGATAGTCAGGGCCTTTGTCAAATGAAGGGTCAGTGCATCACCCATTTCCAGGGGTGGTGATACAAGAGATGAAAATCACAAGCGATGGCCATGCTATCTGTCCTCTCCTG